GGGCTGCATGTCAGTCTTCTTCCTCCTAAAGTCAATGATCATTTCCTGGGTTTTCAGCTTGTTCAGCTGCAGGTTGTTTACTTTACACAACGCTAACAGTTGCTCCACCTCTTCCATGTACGCAGTCTCGTCACCCCCTGAGATGCAGCCCACCACGGTGGTATCATCAGCTAACTTTATGATGGAGTTGCTGGTGTGGCCGGGGACGAGATCATAGGTGTAGAGGGCGTATAGTAGGGGGCTCAGCACGCAGCCCTGTGGTGACCCGGTGCTGAGACTGAGGGAGGTGGAGGTGTGGGTGCCTATCCTCACTCTCTGGGGCGATCAGACAGGAAGTTCTTAATCCATAGACACAAGGAATGGGATACTCCCAGGACTGATAGCTTGGTCACCAGTCTGTCAGGGAGGATGGTATTAAATGCCGAGCTGAAGTCCACGAAGAGCATCCGTGCGTAGCTCCCCCTACTCTCCAGGTGAGACAGGGTGGAGTGGAGAGCTGTGGCGATTGTGTCCTCCGTGGACCTGTTGGTCCTGTAGGCGAACTGGTGGGGGTCCAGACCGCGAAGGAGGGATGAGACGATGTGGGGACGGACCACCTTCTCAAAAACTTTAGTGGGGGTGGAGGTGAGTGCCACTGGACGGTAGTTATTTAGGCAGCCGATGTTGTTCTTTTTCGGCACTGGGATGATTGTGGATGTTTTCAGGCAGGATGGGACGATGGCCTGGGACAGAGACTGGTTGAAGATCTTGGTGAAGAACCCCGCCAGCTGGTCAGCGCAGTCTTTCAGCACCCGTCCCAAGACTCCGTCCGGCCCCGCTGCTTACCTCGGGTTCACTGCCTTCAGTGTGCGTCTCACCTCGTGCTCCGTGAGGATGAGGCTGCTGAGGGCAGGTGGGTGTAATGGTGTGGCTGCTTCCGATAGCCCCGTCTCGTAGCGGGCGTAGAAGGAGTTCAACTCCCCCGCCAGCTGAGGGTCACCCCCGTCGGTCGAGGGGTGGCTGGGTTTGTAGTTGGTCATCTGCTGGACCCCCTGCCACACCCGCCTGGAGTCGTTGCCCCGGAAGCACTCCTCAAACTTCCCCTTGTAGTCCATCTTGGCCCGCTTGATCCCCCGCTTCAGGTGGGCTCTGGCAGTGCTGTACAGCTCCCTCTCACCAGTCCTGAAGGCGATGTCCCTCTCCCTGACCAGGCGCTGCACCTCTCTAGTCATCCACGGCTTCTTGTTGGGATGAACCCGGATGCGCTTATCCACAGTGACGGAGTCTGAACAGTGCTTGATGTATCCCAGGACCGCTGATGTGTACTGTTCCAGGTCCTCATGCACGAAAAAACCCCAGTCGGTGTTCTCAAAACAGTCTTGCAGCTGTGGAGTGGCGTCTAAAGGCCAGGTTTTAGTCATCTTTATAGTGGTGGAAACACTTTTCGCTAGTGCTTTAGCTCTGTAGCCCCCTTTAATATTAGTGTAGACCTTGTCCAGTGTTTTATCCCCCCTCGTGGCACATTTAACATGCTGGTAGAGTCTGGGAAGCACTATCTTTAAGTTGGCATGGTTAAAGTCCCCCGCAATGATGTGGACAGCCTCAGGATACATGCTTTGTTGACTGCTAATAGTATCATGTAGCTGACTTAGCGCCGCGCTGGCATTGGCATCTGGTGGAATATATACTGCAGTTATCAATACAACATTGAACTCCCTCGGAAGGTATCTAGGTCGGCATTTAACTGTCATACATTCTAGGTTCGGGGAACAGAGGTTACTCACAGTGATTGTGCCCCTTAGTGTATATAATGAGGCCACCACCTCACGTTTTCCCCGACAATTCTCGGGTCCTGTCTAGTAGTGTTAATTTCGTTAACTAAAACAATGACGAAATATGGGTTAGGGTTAGACCTTTTTTTCCATGACGAAAACGAGACGATGACGAGACGGCACCGACGGCAGTAAACAATAACTGTAACGAAATCATCATGTAATATCGTTGACGAAAAGTGACTCGACGAAAATGTAGTTTACATATTATCAAAGATAACATTACATCTCTGATAGTCAGTTTTTCTCCCAGCAGTTCCATTTCCGGTGCTGCGGCTGGGCAGCAGCTGTGTGTCTGTGCTGCGCGCGGCGGTACATTTGAATTACACCGGGCAGCGGCACAATATGAACTGTCAGGAAGACTCGGGTCTAACTCATGCTCTAACTAACCTTATTCAACATAAAATGAAATGGCAACAACAGGGCTTGGGAGCAGTGGTCGCACTCGCGTTAACCGAATACCCCCCCGTCAGCGCGAGTGAGTGATAAATTGTGTACTCGACGGGTAATAATGGATTATGACGGAAATGTTACGATCCTGTCCGTCAAAATGACTGACAACGAAAAAGTCTAAAGCCACCACTGCTTGGCAGAAAGAAACAACGTGATATTTGGGCCCATTTTCGCTACAATGAGGCGGAGAAAAAACGCGAATGCATTGTTTCATCAGAAGGGAAGCAATGTGGCCATAACACAGGTAAAAACACCACAAACCTGAGCAGATACTCTCTGCAAAGCTGCTTAATCATTCAACCTGTGGTTTTCATCAAATAAGGACAATATATAATCTTATTTATTTATATTTGCTAAAATGACAAATTATTGGTTTTGGCTAGACTAGTTTAACTGAAATGTTCTATATAATCTGATGACTAAAAAATACTCAACAGTTTTCATTGACAAAAAGTAGACTAAAATAATTTGTTTTCTTTGACTAAAATAAGACTAAAATGCTCAGACTTTTAGTCGACTAAATCTTGACTAAAATAGTTACTGTTTTAGTCGACTAAAATAAGACTAAAATGCTCAGACTTTTAGTCGACTAAAACTTGACTAAATAAAAACAGGATGAAGGTGACTAAATATGACTAAAACTAAAAAGGAAATTTAACAAAGGACTAAGACTAAAACTAAATTAAAAAATAGCTGACGAAATTAACACTACTGTCTAGTGTATGGGAGGTGCGGTCAGCTAGCTCGATCCAATGGAGCTTTCCTAGATGGTTTGGTGAATCAAACCATCTGAGTCAAGTTAGTAATGCTCACATGTTGACACTGTTGACCACAGCATATTACTAGACCGACTGGAAAACTGGGTGGGACTTTCGGAAACAGATCTGAATTGGTTTGAATTAACATCTACATGCTTCCACTGGCTCAGATAATGAAGAACAACAAAATAAGTTACCATAGCTATGCAGATGACACACAAATTTACGTAACAATTTCACCAGGAGACTATGCTCCAATTCAAACACTGAGTAAGTGCATTGAACAAATCAATGACTGGATGTGTCAGAACTTTCTCCAATTAAACAAAGATAAAACTGAGGTAATGGTTTTTGGAGCCAAGGCAGAACGTATAAAAGTTAGCGCTGAGCTTCAGTCTGCAAAGTTCAAAACAACAGATAAAGCCAGAAATCTAGGTGTAGTCATGGACTCTGACCTGAGTTTCAACAGTCACATTAAAACAGTTACTAAATCAGCCTACTATCACCTAAAGAATATATCTAGGATTAAAAGACTAATGTCACAGCAGGATTTGGAAAAACTTGTCCATGCTTTTATCTTCAGTAGACTCGACTACTGCAATGGTGTCTTCACAGGTCTCACTAAAAAATCTATTAGAAAGCTGCAGCTGATTCAGAACGCTGCTGCTCGAGTCCTCACTGACACTAAGAAAGTGGATCACTCCAGTTCTGAAGTCTTTACACTGGCTTCCTGTGTGTCAAATAATAGATTTCAAAATACTGCTGCTGGTTTATAAAGCACTGAATGGTTTAGGCCCAAAATACATTTCTGACCTCCTGCTAAATGATGAACCATCCAGATCTCTCAGGTCTTCAGGGACTGGTCAGCTTTCTGTCCCCAGAGTCAGAACTAAACATGGAGAAGCAGCGTTCAGTTATTATGCTCCAAATATCTGGAACAAACTCCCAGAAACCTGCAGGTCCGCTGCAACTCTGACTACTTTTAAATCCAGGCTGAAGACTTTTCTTTTTGTCGCTACTTTTAATTGAACTATTCATATCTTAGACTGCACTAGATCAGATCAGATCAGATCAGATCGCCTAGCCTCGCCTCGCCTTGCCTGAAACTGAAACTGAAACTTGACTTTAAAGCAACCCAACGGAAGTTTCATGTAAGTTTAGTTCTTTCTCTCGTAGCTCGGTCTGCAGGGGTGCTAGAGACGGGAGCACGTTGATACGACCTTCCTAGCCGGAGATATAGCCGCATTTTACAATTGGGTTGCTTAAAAACAAATATTGCAAATCAAATCGCAATATCTGTCAGAAAGATCGCAATTAGATTATTTCCCCAAATCATGCAGCCCTACTTTACATCTGTGACTGTGTCTGTTCTGCAGTACTGCAAAGCTACCTGGTACAAGTGTTTGTCAACAGCTTTGAAATCAAAACTGCTCCAGCTGTTAATAATCTGCTCAAAGATTGTTGGTCCACCCTGTCAGAGACTTCCTGACTCAGCAGACCATAATAACCTGAGAGGCTGTCCAACAACATCACCTGGGACCCAAAGCATGCTCTGAACAGAGAATATGAACTGCTGCCATCTAATGGAGATTCAATAAAGTCAGACTGAAGCCTCCTTTGTGCTCCAGTCAGTCCTCTCAGTAAACACAGAGCTGAATCCAGATCAAAAGCACGCTGAAGGCTCTTTGAGCAGGTTGTCTCTCGCTGATCCTGCTGTTATGTTACATGTTTGTTTTTCATGTATTGTGTCTTGATATTAGTTTATGTTGATGTTACACATGGAGCTGCTGTTACACTATGCAAGTCACATTTCAGACCTGATCTGACCAATACAGTGTTATCGTGTCGTAATGTACAACAACGTTCTAACCTATATCTGACCATATTGTGTATTCATATTGTATTCTCTAAACAGGTTGTGATCTTTCATTTGGGGATAACAGTGTTAGGAATATATTGTGATGAAGTGCACACTGACCTGAGCTCCAGGGGTCTTTTTATTCTCCTCCATGCTGCTCTCAGTGCTCCTTCTCCGGCTGTGTCTCTGAAATAATCAACACAACTACAGCTGACACAAAACAAGACAACTCAATACAACCAACAGACACAACTAAACATATCTACAGCTACTTCGTAGGGTCATAGCAGAGGTGAGAAGTAACTAAGTACATTTACTCAAGAACTGTACTTAAGTACCATTTAGGAGGTACTTTTACTTTACTTGAGTATTTCTATTTAATGCTACTTTGTACATTTAGAACAGTTCAGAGATAAATGGTACTTTTACTCCACTACATGCATTTAATACCTTTAGTTACTTTACAGATCTGGATGAATGATGTGAAATATAATCAAGTGTTAAATCAGACTAGTTCCACCTGGAGTAAATTCTAGTGATGGCAGTTTGACACTGAAGCTTCGAACGGAGCTTCAACCCTGGACTTCCTATTCCATAGAAGCAGTGCTTCGAAGCTTGTTTCAAATCACGTGACATATGACGTCCGAAGCAGCAACTGCTTCAAATCACGTGACATGTGACGTCCGAAGCAGCAACTGCTTCATTTCCTGAATGAATCACTTGACTGGTTCGCGGTCCATTCACGTGATTCAATTCACTGCCTCGTCTCGATTCAGACAGGTGACAGGTTGAAACAGTTTAAAACTTGAGTGCTTCAACACTTTATGACCGCTCTAAAGAATGCGCAATGTGTGGGTTGTTGTCGTAGTTTGCGTTGTTGCTGTTGAGTTGTTGTTGTTATTGCATTTGATATCATTATAGAGCAAGCCAGGAAGAAAGATAGGTCGTTCTGGCTCGGGAAACACTTCGAAATGTGGAGAAGTTGTTAACAAAAAGACAATTATCAGTAATATAAAAACAGTTAAATATGTCAAGGAATAGATAGCCCAGTGGATAGGGCCGGCGGCCCGGATGCGGCGATGTCCTCCGCGCAGCTGGTTCAAATCCCGGAATGGACGTATTTTAAATCATTGCTTTTCAACTTTAATAACTGATAAAAGGCACTCTCCGCCCAAAAACATGTCTAGTACTCTCTCTTCTCAATAACCCAATACACACAATTATCAACCTTTAATTGCAAATAGAACATGATATTCAGTCTTTGTGTGTGTGTGCATCGAATATTTTTCAAGGCAAAGATACGTTAAACCCACTGCAGCCTTGCACTTCGCCAGGAGAGGACGCTGTAACTGAAGCTTCGAGAAATGAACCTATTTCTGACACAATTGTCCAAGTGGTTCGACGCTTCATTCAAAGCTTCATTTTGCCATCACTCGTAAATTCACACACACACACACACACACACACACACACACACACACACACACACACACACACACACACACACACACACCACACACACACACACACACACACACACACACACACACACACACACACACAAAGAGAGATGTTACCTCTCTCTCCTCTTCGTCCTGGTTCCTCAGTCTTTCTTCTCCTTGATAAAACACTGCCGTTAAAACACACTAATCTCCCTTTAATGCCTTTACTTGTGTTTACCGATCAGCCACGTGGTATTCAAAGCTACGAACAAAGAACGGGAGGCAACAAAAACACGGTTTAACGGACAAAAGCACGGATAAATCACCCTCCAATGATAAACTAGCTCATTGTATGTGTTTTAAAAGTCTCTTAAACACATTACATTCGGTATAACATCTGCATCAACGTCTGTTAGCAACGTGTAGCTTCTGAGGACCGGAAGCTAGAAACGAACTGCCGCAATGCATCATGGGATTAGAGTTGTTCTTTTAAACATCATTTCACTACCCCCTCTGGTGAAAACATTTAAAACACTATCGCTATTAAAATAAATAATAATTACAATATTAATAATAATAATATATATGTAAAGATGAAATGGTCAGACGGGTTTTAAAAGTTGTGGAAAAGGATTTTGTTTGTAATAATACTTCTTTATAATGATTGATCAAGTGTTCTCAAAGCTGGTAAAGATGCAGCTAGTTTGAATGACTTTGTATTCTGAGGGACAAAACAAGAATTGGACAAAAAATAATAATAATAATAATAATAACATAATAACACAAATTCATTAGGAATTAAAAATACAAATAGTTAAAGAAAATAATAATGAAAGATTTAATAATCTTGGAAAAAATAATTAGTTTTTTGTGATTGAAAATACTATTATTAATATAATAGTGTTTTCAAATAACAAATATAATAAAATAAGAAGTAAAATAAGAAAATAAAAAAGTAAGAATAAAATAATGTAAAAATAAAAAAATAATTGAAATAAGAAAATAATAATTAAATATATCAAATAAAAAAATATAATTTTTAATGAAATCACAAAAACTAACTTGAAAAAAATATAAAGAAATGTTTATTTTTTACTAAAGCAAGAATGATACAATTAAGAATTAAATACATTATTTTTTTCAACTATTCTTATATTATATATATGTATTATGATATATGTATATTGAAAGCAATGCATCATGAGATTTTAGTATTTATTTTCAACAGCAATTCACGGTATTAAAATAAATAATAATGATAATAATAATAATAATAATAATAATACATATAAATATGGAACTGGGATGACAGATTTTAAACATTGGGAAAAATGTTTTGTTTCTGATAATACATTTGTTTTATTATATATGTTTTATAATGATTGATCATGAAAGTGTTCTCAAAGCTGATGAAGGTGCAGCTAGTCTGAATGGCTTTGTATACTGCAGGGTAGCTTGTGGATTTACCATTGCTACGCTGATGACACCCAATTAATTCTGTCCTTTCCCCGCTCAGAGACCCAGGTCGTTGCACGCATCTCTGCTTGTCTAGCTGACATCTCTCAGTGGATGTCTGCTCATCACCTCAAGCTCAACCTTGACAAGACTGAGCTGCTCTTCCTCCCGGGAAAAGATTGTCCCACTCTTGACCTAACAATCAACATCGGCACTTCAGTTGTTTCCCCGACTCAGACTGCAAGGAATCTCGGTGTGACCCTAGATAACAACCTGTCCTTCACTGCAAACATCGCTGCTACAACCCGCTGCTGCAGATACACGCTTTACAACATCAGGAGGATACATCCCCAGCTGACTCAGAAAGCGACTCAGGTTCTGGTCCAGGCTCTCGTCATCTCACGCCTAGACTACTGCAACTCCCTCCTGGCTGGTCTACCTGCATGTGCCATCCGACCTCTGCAGCTCATCCAGAATGCAGCGGCTCGTCTGGTTTTCAACCTTCCTAAATTCTCCCACACCACTCCGCTCCTCCGCTCCCTTCACTGGCTTCCGGTAACTGCTAGAATCCACTTCAAGACACTGGTACTTGCTTACCGTGCTGCGAATGGATCTGGCCCTTCGTACATCCAGGACATGGTTACACCGTACACCCCAGCGCGTGCACTACGCTCTGCATCAGCCAAACGACTCGCTGCGCCCTCGCTGCGAGGGGGACCCAAGTTCCCAACGGCGAAAACACGTGGGTTTGCTGTCCTGGCTCCAAGATGGTGGAATGAGCTCCCCATTGACATCAGGATGGCAGATAGCTTGCACATCTTCCGGCGCAAACTGAAAACTCATCTCTTTCGACTCCACTTCGAGCGTTAGAACTATTAACGAAGCACTTATATACTAATATAGGACTGGCTTTTCTAAAGCCAGTTGAGTAGCACTTGAAATGTTTTTGCTCTATGAAACCTGATGTACTTTTATGATTCTGTTTTCTTCAAGTTGTATTTTGTTGGACGAACGCACTTATTGTAAGTCGCTTTGGATAAAAGCGTCAGCTAAATGCAATGTAATGTAATGTAAATGTATTCCAGGTGGAACTAAAGTCTGATTTAACACTTGATTAGATTTCACATCATTCATCCAGATCTGTGAAGTAACTAAAGGTATTAAATACATGGAGTGGAGGAGAAGTACACCATGTACCTCTGATCTGTAGTGGAGTACACTGAAAAAAAGGCCGTTGGATTAACATGATTTTAACATGGACATCGGTTGCTCACATTAAAAACATGTGTACTCAAAACTATTCCATTATGTTAGAGACACACAACAATGTTATGTCAAAGAAACATGAAATTGTTATGTTAATGTGAACATTTCCTTTAATATAGGTATATTCATTTACCCTATGTTTAACCAACATGACTTTTAATGTTCATTTTAGGCTTTTAATATACTTAGTATATTTCATTTGTACCTGTTAAAGCCACATTAATGTTTTGTTTAAACTACATGCTATAGTTTTCTGTTTAATCTACCTAGTGCTCAAGGGGTACATAAGATTATTTATTTCATGTGAATCGAGGCATGTCGTACATTCTTCTACAGGATCCATCCTAATCTCTTATCGACAGCATTTATCATAACATTTTAAAACAAATAGTCAATAAAGACAAACACATTTCTTTGAACAACATTCATGTATTTTTCTCAAAAAATAAAACAATATTAACAACCACCACACATCCAGATGAGCTTTTGGTTCCTCCATCATGCAGCCAGGAGAATTAACAAATACATTGAAAATAAAGAAATAGAACATGTTTGTGATGCATGTACATATGCATTGTGTTAGAACACAGCAAGGAAGCTTAAAGGAAACTATTCTCCCGACCAAAATAAAGGTGTATTGGGCCAGAGGGCAAAGAAAGGCTTATTGTTATATCATTCATAAACAATTAACAGAAAATGTCAACGCCTAGCCCAAAAAAGGAAATGTTCTTGCAAATCCATTATTTAAATAGTAACCTGCTAATATGAAAGGGCACTTTAATGCAAAAAAGCAATGGCATTGCTTTGGACAAATACATGGAAGTATAATAATGGCCTGGTTTCTCACCACATATGCACTAAAGAAAGTATTACAAATAAAAACAAGAACTGACATTTTGAAGTTAGTACATTAGTACAATTAGTGCAATTAGTACATTCTGAAACACATGACAAAGGGTACATTCTGAAAACACATGACCCCAGGAAAAACCCACATTTCTGAAACATGCAAAGCAAGCAAAAAGCATGAGCAAAGGAAGTGCAAGACAGTTGTATCGATGAAAGTCCAGTATGAATGCTGTAAAAGTGCACAATGGTCCATGGCAACAGCTCACTCAAACAGTTTGTTTTTAAACGCTTGTGCTTTCTTGGAGAGCATGTTGCGTCTAGCTCCATTAACATTTGCTGGAGCACTTCGAACGTGCACTTCAGTTTAGGGGGGTTGTTCAGGTTCATTGCATACATTAGTCCAAACAGCATGGTAGCAGCTAATGCAATGTTGTCCACATCAGTTAGTACCTGTTGGCCTTCCAGGAAAGTCTGTCCTCTGGTCTCATCTGTCCTCTGGTCTCATATGTCCTCTGGTCTCATCTGTCCTCTGGTCTCATCTGTCCTCTGGTCTCATATGTCCTCTGGTCTCATCTGTCCTCTGGTCTCATCTGTCCTCTGGTCTCATCTGTCCTCTGGTCTCATCTGGTCTCATCTGTCCTCTGGTCTCATCTGTCCTCTGGTCTCATCTGTCCTCTGGTCTCATCTGTCCTCTGGTCTCATCTGTCCTCTGGTCTCATCTGTCCTCTGGTCTCATCTGTCCTCTGGTCTCATATGTCCTCTGGTCTCATCTGTCCTCTGGTCTCATATGTCCTCTGGTCTCATCTGTCCTCTGGTCTCATATGTCCTCTGGTCTCATCTGTCCTCTGGTCTCATCTGTCCTCTGGTCTCATGGTGGAATTGTGTTTGACGACATAAAGTCCCACTGTAATCCCCTCAATGGACCGCAGAATGACGTCTTCATCTTCTGCCTGCAGAGCGCACAGTCACAAAGGGAATAGAGTGAGATCTAACAAATCAATACATATATATACCCATTACTAAGTCCCTGTGTTTAACAAGTACATTTGGTCAGATTTCAGTACTTTTAAGCCTCCTTGTTATCTGATATACTCCTGTCTGACCTGATGAAAATGTTTCATTTCCTGTATCCGTTTTAAATTAAAAGCCCTCAAGCTTTTCAGTGTAGTCTGGCTATTAAACAAAAAACAGGGATGTTCACATACTTTTGGCTATATACTATGTGGTGTTACAATAAATACATATTTTAACGCCCAACAAAAAAATCAAAGGGTCAAATATTACTTCTACTGACCACAAACTCTCTCATTGAGGTGCACACACAGAGGTACACACACAGAGGTACACACACAGAGGTACACACAGAGGTACACACACAGAGGTACACACACAGAGGTACACACACAGAGGTACACACACAGAGGTACACACACAGAGGTACACACACAGCCCCTTGAGAAGACAATCCCGGCCTAAATCGACATCATCAACCTAAGTGAAGGGGAATAAGAAAAGAAAGAATCTATTTTGCTCAATGAAATGTGTACACTATTGACTCGATGTATAATTTCCTTAAAATGAATTCTTACTTGAGTCATGTTTGACATAATACAGTTCAGACGCTGGCCTATCTGTCCTCCTCTCTTCTCAAAAACCTTCAGAAGTGTGTCAGATAGCACATCCAGCTGAGAGAGAACTCTTGATTGGAGGGGCAGGGTTGTTATGCGCTTAAACTCCGCATTTATCAAAGAAAACTAAATATCACAGTCATAAAAATCATGAAATAATTTCATTTTCTAATGATGTTATGATTGTAGTTGTTTGCTTGCCTCAAAACGATGCAGAGAAACTAGTCCATGCATTTGTTACTTCAAGGCTA